AGAAAGTTCATTATAGTTCAAGCAAAAAGAAATTATAATTTCTGAAATTAACTCAAAATATTATCAAACTTTTCATCAAGAAAAGCTGACTTCAAACTAATGACTTTCAAGCTACAACCTTGTAACCCTAGCATGGTGAAGGGTTTTTTTTTCTATCGAGTTTCAGTTTATATTCCTCAACCTATCACCAAAACTCGCAATAAAACAAACAATGCAGATACCCAAACGCCTATCAAACTAGAATTATAACGATATGGTGAGCAAGGAGATGTAAACCTTTTCCAACGCCATCTGAGCAGCAGACTGCTCAGCGTCTTTCTTTTTCTTAAAGGATTCAGACACAACAGTACAATCTGGAAGCTCCAAGGTACAGCGATAATGGCAAGGCCCCTTCTGAAGGATCGCCAATCCTGGGCATCCATTTTGAGTAGGTTCCTCTACTTCCTCAACCGTATAAGAAGCTTTACTCCCAAACTTCTGGTGTATAATAGCTTTTGGCGTAAGCGTTGGCTTTCTTATTGCCTGTGCCAACGATCCTCCAGTTTCCATGTGACCTCCAGGTGTTTGAATAAATCAATCTGAAAAAAAAAAGAAACCGAAAAAAGTTAAGCAAAATATCACGTAAGCAAATAAAATGGCAAGAACAACTCAATCAAACTTGCATTTCACCAATGACAAAAACTAAACCCTATAATGAAAAATTAAAAGGATAAACAATAACCTAACCGCATTCCACAATGAATTGATAAAATCATAGAAAATGAAAAATATAGAAATGAAGAAAGAACCGTTAATTTGTTGAATGGTGGAAGACTGAAATCTGTTGTGTTGAGAAAATGAAGCTAATTCCAACTCCAAAATCAATGTTCTGCAATTGCCAAACACAGAGATGAGAATAATAGATAAATTTGACAGAAAAAATACTGGGTGTGGCCATGCAAGAAAGGACGGGAGTCCTTAAGGAACAAGTTGGGGAAAGCAAAATACTTCGACAATAAGTAGACCCCTTTATTACTTAGGTTTAAATATAAAGTTCCCCATACTATACAAATACTTTAATTGGGTAAACTATGTATTTAATATTTAAACTATCAATTTTAATCTATTTTAGTACCTAAATTTTATTTTTTTTCAAAATCATATCTAAAGTTTATTTTTTATTTCATTTTAGTACTTATACCTCGCCGTAAAAAACTTTAGTTTTTATTTCATTTTAGTATCTCGTTCAAAATTTAACGTTAAGTTTTGAAAAAAATGAAAGTTTAGATACTAAAATGGACCAAAACTGATAGTTTAGGTATTAAACACGTTAAGTTTTTAACAGTGATGTATTAAAATGAAATAAAAACTAAATATTAGGTATGGTTTTTGAAAAAAAAATGAAAATTTAGTTATTAAAACAGGTCAAACTGATAGTTTAGATACTAAATGTGTAGTTTACACCTTAATTTGTATACTTTAACCTTCTTTTTTGCAACAAAGAGTAAACTAACGGCTACACATTGATATTGTGTTGGTATTCCTGTAATATTTGTTTCACTTCCTCGGCTGCCTCCATAACAACCTTGCATTCCGAGCTCCACCTATTTGCTAATTTTGTCATTCCATCCGCAACTTGATTTCTAAGCCTGGAAAAATATTGAAAATTAACCACCCAGTTCCTTTGCATCAACTCCAGAATGTTGTGTAATAGTGTAAACCGAAATGTACCATCCTTAGCTTGTTTTATCACCTTGATCTTTTCCAAACTATCCATCTCAACTATAATTTGTTGACAACCCAAGTCTCATGCGCACAGTAAAACACAATACACTCCCCATAACTCCGTTTATAGTACTGAGTTTATGTCGATTAACTTGGAATAATCGACCTGCCAGTTACCCAGATGGTTTCGGAACACCCCTCCACACTTTACCAATCCATTTTCCTTACAACGAGCCACGTCTGAGTTAACCTTAAACCATCCCAACGATGGTGGTTGCCATTTTTCATTGTCCGATAACTGTTCTTATATTGTAAAAGTTCTTGTCGCCCTTTTCTCTAATGCCCTTTTCATAATATCCAGCCAATGGAGACTGTTTTCCAGTGTTGGTCTTTTATCGGATAAAAGGTTATCAAAAGTCACTGCATTTCTAGAAATTCAAATATTCCATACCAACTCACCGAACAAAATATCCCAATCATCATTCTTTTCAATGTATTGAGCATAATTGCGTAGGTTCATTGTTATCCAATCGGCAATATTCAGTTGAATAAACTCTTGCAATCGTTCTTGTTTTACCACTCTCACCCATATTGTATGTGCTGATCGAAAAAGACGTAGTGTATGGTTTATATCCTCATTCGAGTCACTGCAAAGGGGGTGGCTGCTATCAAAGCTGAGGTGACAACGTTTACGCTCCGCATTAGTCATCACCCGCTCACAACATACAAGCCACATAAACGTTTTCATCTTTAGGGGTCCTCGATACTTTGCTATCACTTTCCATACCGTCTCCCCATTTCCTTCATTAAGGTTTGCGCGGATGGAGTAAGCTGACTTCACTGAGAAACTGCGATCATTACTTGGTACCCAGCCAACAATATCTGGTCCGAAATATTATTGCGGACTTCTCTTGGTTGCGATTCGGAGTATAATATTTGGTGGCAAAAGATGCACAAAGCACTGTCATTTCCAATTCCCTTGTCCATTTGCCATATCAGACACTATAACTCTTTGCAATCCCACCGCTCCTATAGCTATAACATGTTCGATTAGAGGTCCGATATCATCAAGCCAACCATCAAACCAGAAATCAACCTCACAACCATTTTCCACGCACCATGCTATGTTACGACTGACATCCCCCAAATGCACTCAATACTATTTTTATTTGAAATTTTAATTAATAATTAAATGTGAAGAATTAAACAAGTTATTTAACTTTTTTATAATTAAAATAGCAATAAATGATAAAAAAAATTGATTAGGTTAATGATAAAATTAAATACAAATTAAGATAATAGAGAAACTAATGAAAATATGAAATAATCAAAATTTTAAACAAAAATAATATAATAATGTAATAGTATAAAATAAAATGAAAACTAATTTTTGAAATAACATATGGACCTTTTAATATATTTAAATTATTACTAGCCCATCCTATTTATATTGTTCATTTGTTGACTTTCACGTAGTTTTAGAAAGAAAAAATTATGCAAGAGATGTGTTGTAAAACAAAATAAAATGATAATTTTATCATCAAAAAAATTTAATTTTACTTGGCTGGGAAACTAAAAAAAAGGATGAAAAATAAAATATGTCTAGTAAAAGTTGTTAAAATTTTCAAATGGACAATTTAAATGGCACAATTTTAAAGGAACATAGGGAGTACTTATATTTTTAAAAATTGTATATTTGATAATAAAATTAAAAAAGAACTTCATTCGTCCTATAATTTTTGTCTTATATTAACTAAACACAAAGTTTTAAAAGATAAGTTTGACCATATTTAAGTTATATAAAACGACAGAAATGACAAAAATATCCTTCAAAGTTATCAATAGATTTGATAGATTAGTATCCAATGTCACGCGTTACGTGTGATTTACATGTTTATTTTTTTGGTAACTACACATTTAGTACCTTAAGTATAACTTTTGTTTCACTTTAATCACCCAATTATTTTTTATTTCAAAAGCATACCTAACAATATATTTTGATTTTATTTTGGTCACTTACCGTTAAAAATTAACGATGATGTTGATGTGCCATCATAAGGTATTGTCGTGTTATCATTGAATTTTTTTAAAAATTACCATGTTAGTAGTTCTAATAATTTTTTAACTATAGATGAATAAAATAAAATCAAAATGTAACATTAAATATGACTTTGAAACAAAAAATAGTTAAGTAACCAAAATAAAATAAAAAGGGTAATTTAATTTTGTTTAAGTTAAATTATAAATGAAACTTAAATAATAGTTATGCCAACCATATAATAATAATTTGACTTGATTCCACATTTAGGTGTATTTTATTCAATGTCCCAATTTGATTTGTTAAATATTAATGATTTATTAAGTTGTGTTAAATTAAGATCAAATTGATATAATATAAATATTTTTATAATTAAAACTATTATTACATCATATCACAATTATCATCATTAATAATTTTTTTGTGATCGATGACTAAAATAGAAATATAATGTTGGTGATAATTTCATTAGAAAAAGTTTGATGACCAAAGTAAGAAAATGATACTTTTTGATTACCAATAAGACACTTTATCCTAAATTATAACATTTTAACTTCTAGGATAAACTACATATTTAGCTACTTATTTATTCTTGTGATTCTATTTTGATCATTTAACTATTTTTTTAAATCATATCAAATATTATATTTTTATTCCGTTTTGATAACTCATCATTAAAAAAATAAAAACTATTAATGTAATAAGTTTTTTTTAATAATGATCTGACATTATTTTATGATAGACACGCTAATTTCACAGCTTGCGTAGCATGGGAGGTTCTGAATTTTTGTGTCCATTTCTGATGGCAACAAAAAGAACAGGGTTCCCATAAGAGACATCGTGCCCGAGGTTAATCAATTCAAGGTTATCATTAGGGTTTTCACGCTTATAATCCACATTTTCCCCAAATATTTTAAAATTCGAAATCTCTAATCCTTAGTTTGTCCTCCGCCGGGAGAAGAATGTGAGCTGTGTCAGATGAGTCTCCCGAATCTTGTGTGGAGTCTTCCCTCAAATTTTGGTTAACTTTCCTTTCCCAATCAAATTGCTGCTCATATTCAAAGCAAATTTGAAATGTAACACTTGAACTAATTCTGATTTGTATATATAAATTTACAGTTGAAATTACAACAAACGCAGCTTCCCTTGCCTATCATACATGGATGTAAATAGCAGTCGAGGTCACGGTCATCACGACTTTGAACATAACGACTCTTGTTGTGATCATTGTAGATATTACAATCATGAAATAATAGTTTCAAACGGCATTATAACCGTTATATAACGATGTCTGCTCCGATAACAAATCACTAGTTAAATCCCTTCCATCGTAACGTTGCTCGCAGTCGGATTCAACCTGAAGATATATCTCCAAAACCAGCTCACCTTCAAAGCTACAAACAAGACAAAAGATGATTTCCGATTACGGTGTATCGTAATCTAAATGTCATGTTTTATGACCGTTGTTTAAATCACTGACGTCTTTTTGTATGGGAGCTCCGATATAGTATATCAGTATGCAGCAGCATACAAGAGTTAGTAAAAGTGCAACGCCCCGCCCTGCTATGAGTCCGGCAAGAATAATCACAAGCAGAATCATCGCACACCCTGAATTCCCCTTTCTAATATTCTCAGTTCCCGATTCATCTTTTTCATCAACACCATGTTCTTGCTTTTCCTTTTCCAGTTGAATACATGGTTTGTTGTTACTCTTCCCTTGCTTCTTCCTCTTTCCATGGAGAAACTTCTTAGGAACAAATTTCTTGATTAAACTCGTTTTGATTCTTGAACTCCGACTACGCTCACTCTTACATGTTACGGCTTCCGTTTCATCTTTCAACTCGACTAACTCACAAGGATCAGGCAACTCAGCTCCTCTTCGTTTAACGACCGATTCATCTGTTCTTGGTTTCAACCCCATTCGAATCCTAGGATAGAAGAGAAGTACTGTCTTATAAAACTCAATTATCACAAGTGAAAGAGCAGCCATCATGATCCAAATCGCAAGGCTTCTGGTACTAACAGCGAGAGCCACCATTAAAGAAACTTTAAGCACCACAGGAAAGTTTTCTTCTCTGGAAACAGATACTGTTTCACCACCATCCATGTCAGGAGATTTTAGGTCGTCATTGCAGAGATTCTGTGGGCTGGAACTGGATTTCCTTTTGGAGGATTTTCGGAAGCGATCACGGTTCTTGACGAAAAGATCGACGAGGGAGGTCGGAAAACCGGTCTCCAACACTAGGTATCCGCCGCGTTTGGGGGTACAGTGGAGGCCGGCAACCAGCCGTGAGATACGACGAGTTACTTTGCTTTTCTTCCATGGGAAATGCATGGCGAAAGAAGAAAGAAAACACCCAAAACAAACAATGGGTTTTGTTTAGTTTATTGAGTTAGTTTCTTGGGGAAGAAGTAAGGAGGATCAAATTAAAAAGGACAATTATATGAAGATGAAGATGCAGATGCAGATGAAGATGTTTTAAAGTAGATGAGACAGGAAAGTAGAAGACGCGTGGGGGACGAGTTTGGTTTCGAAGGAAAGTAGACTGCACACTTTTATTTATTTATCTATTATTTTTTTATAATTTATAATTAAATATAAGAGATAAAAGCTATTGTTCCATAATGACGTTGCTGTTTTTTATTTTCATTTTTATTATCTATTGTTAATAACGATGTAGTTATTTTACTTACCCAAAAAAATATGAATTATTTTACTAAATTAACCATTAAAACTATTGTTAATAGAGAAGTTCCTATAAAAATTAGCATAGCATAACAACTTAGATGATGGATTTATTCCAAAGACAAAGTAAAAGTCAGAAAAAATATTAAAATTAAACAGTCGTTTTAACTTTAATTCATTTTTCTATCATTTTGGCCTTCAATGTCTTATTTTAAGACAAAAATACTACTTTGTAAATAAAAATAATTAGTTAACATATTATTAACGTTTTAGAATAAGGCCATTTTTATTTTAAAATGAAACTTTAAATCTAAAATACTCTAAAAAATAAAGAATAAAATAACTATTTTAATAAATATTGAACAGTGGTTTCGATATTATGCCAAATAAAAATACAAACAAAGCTATTTATCCATTGTGTGGATGTGAAACTATTACGAAAGAAACTAAAAATGTATTTGCATAATAGGTTAACTTAACGGTAAAAAATTATGAATTGTTTAGAAAAGGTTGAATATATTTTTATTAAGTTAAAGCGATTATAAAATAATTATGTTCTAAATACATTTTAACTATTTGACAATGAAAACTTAATCGACTTGTTGCAACCGTTGATATTCGAATCTGCGACATCTAAAAACAACAATGATTCTTTTAACCATTAAGATAAATTAATTCGTACATAAAACGTTAAATTTAAAATAAACGAAGTTAAAGAATATTTACATAAAAAGTGCATTTGACAGTGCAAAAATAGAAATCACATTTATTGCATGTTATGTATGTATAATTAAAAATGATCATCAGGTCAACTGCCACTAACAAGTAACATGAGAAAACTAGAGGAGATGTATTTGCTTTGCTTTAATGAAAATAATAACATTAAATATTATTGTAAAGATGGAATCGAAAGCTCTGTCAAAATCTTCAGGGAGAAGTAAATCTATTGTCACGTTTTGATTAATTTTTTTAATTCAAATCCACTTTCAGATGATTCGAAATATAATTAAACATATTTGATAAAGAATATTCTTAATAACAAAATCAATTTTTACATAATTTATAATAATATTATTAAGTAATAATATAAATAAAAGATGGATTCAAAATTATAAAATCCATATAATAACGGAATTATTGTACAGGTGAATAGAACAGAAAATAAAAGAGAAAATTAAATTTTAAATGTAAAAACTATGGTTTTGGGGGCCCGAAAGTGGGGATAATAATAAATGTTTATTATATACAATCAATCATTTTTATAGTAGAAAAAGCGAAGAAGGCTTAATTAACGGTTTAGTCTTTGAAGTATATACTTTTTTCTATTCTGGCATGTGTTTATCCTAAATTCATTTATTTCGGTTAATTATTTATTTCACAGATAGTGTTAATCACATTCAAAAAAATTATGTTATTAATATATGCGTATATTTTGAAAAATATTTTTAGATGTATCACTGGATAAGAAGATAAGATCGATCCCGAGAAGATTAAGATGTTAATAAATATTTTCAAAAGTATTTTCAATCAAATTAATTTAAAATGGTCAGTTATCAATTTTATGCATTATTTTTAGGTTTTCACGGTTGATCAACTAGTCGCGATGTGCTACTCTGATTGGATGAAATAATTTTAAGGTTTCGACTAAAATCTCTATAGGTATACTTTGTACTAAATGGGACGAAAGAAAGTTTAGCTCCTAAAATGAGAAAACGTGTATAATTTAGGGGTTAAAGCGAGAGTTATGCCAAGCAAGAAAGGGACATTATTTTTGTGATAATAAGAAAGTGACATTAATTTTTGTGAGGATAAGAAAGGGACATTAAAATCATAAGCACGCGGTGATATACTATTCAGTATTTAAGATGCTTTTGCTCTCTTTTTTAACTTTAAATAGGCTTTTTACTACAACTTTGTATAATACTTTATTTAAAAAAAATTAGGGGTGTTTAATGGTTACTGGTGGAGTGAAATATGATATCTTCCAAAAATTTTGATTTTAATAATATTCTAGATTTTTAAAAATTTAAATATCAATTTGAGAGCTTTTTTTTCCTACTACAACTGCTACTGCTGGTACTATGCCTATTATTTCAGTGACTTATCGAATGATTTTTCCATTTTTCAGATTCAAAGCAACTCATATAAAAAGGCTGTCCGTAGGTTGGAGGCATTAGAGAGCCTGTTTGAAAAGCATGAAACTGCAAAATCCCCGCTTATACAGCAAAAGCTTAAACTGTTAAACAGGAAGGAAGAATTGACATCCAAGATCAGATCAATTAAGAAAACAATGCGTTCTTCCACAGTTTTGGCTTTTAAAGATGAGCTTAAGGCCAGAAAACGGGTTCTAAGGAGGCTAGGGTAAGAAAAACCGTTTATCTATGATTGCTTCGCAGTCATTGGCAAAATTTCTCATTGTCTCATGACTTGATGGAGCTTTGTATTTGATATGTTTTGCTCTGGAGCTTTTTTTTTTATTATTTTCCATCAGTCATAGAGACAACATAAGATGACTGACAGTCTTTTCTACAATCAAAATAAAGATCCTCCTTCCTCATTTTCCATATGATTGGAATCTTCCATATACAACCTTATTTTTATTAAACAACCAATCTACTTTTTTTTTCTGCACCTTCCAAATTTTTTTAATAAAATATTGCTTTGTTTTCTTGGCTGTAAATGCTTAATTATGCATGCAGTTTGTTATGTATTTTAGTTCCGCCTTGCATTCAGATTTATTCATGGCTCAGGCAGTGTTGTTAAGGCATTGTGTCTTAGCGCCAGAAACAAATGCACCTCAGACCCCTGCCTGATTGAAGTACTCTTTACTCTTCTTTTTTAACTGCGCCTTTACTATTAAGAAAGGAGATAATATCACACTTCCTACTCAAATTTTAGTATTCAGCAACAGACATGTGATTATAAGGGAATCATATAATATTGGCCAAAAAGAGAATATAATGTTGCATGTTTTTTAGAATAGCTAGAGAACTCTTATGTTTTGTAGAATATACTGGAGCACTCTTTAGAGTTTGTTAATATATATCTTAAGTTCTATATTGATGCACACACATGCAGAAAAGTACATATACATGTTGTACCTTTTCTGGTCTCGTGTGTGTTACAGATGCATTTGTCGATGTTGATCTGCATTAATTTTTTTACTGGAAGAATATTATCTTTTTATTATTTTATGAAGTTATTAGAGTATTATTATTATGAGATTTTCTTTAGAAGTATGAAGTATCTTTATGTTATTGGAAGCCTTTATTTAGAGTTCTTGTTTTAATTGCTTTAGTTACTTATTTTATTCAAACAAATAATATGTAAACTCGATTTAAATAGAGGTTGGTTGACTGCAATAAAATTAAATGAGATTATTTATTCAATTCTAAGAGGTTTAAGACTAACTAGTCTGAGGTGAAGGGTTCTCTTTGGTGAGTTCCACACATTCACCATAGGGTGTCTGCAAGTAAGAAACAAAAACAAGGAGAAAACCCTGCTATTTTAGACGGTTTTCCTACAAATTGTCTGGTAACTTGATCAGTATTGTCGGACCTTAACAGTGTTTCTGCCTTGGGCAATACACCGGTTCTAGTGTCTAGAGTCTGCCTTGTGCCCTTCACAATGTTGTAGCCTTTTAACTTAAAACTTCAACCATATCCTATTACTACTACTACTACTACTACTACTACTACTATTATTATTATTATTATTATTAGTGGCTTAGGTATAACAAAACTTTATCTTGTTGCATAGACACCTGTAAAGCTAAAATGTTCTCTTATATCGGATTTTATTGCAGATATATTACAAGTGATGATGTTGTTGAACTGAAGGGCAAGGTTGCTTGTGATATCAGGTGCTGATGAGTTCACTCTGACTGAGATTATGTTCAGTGGGGTTCTGAAAGATGTAAAGGCAGAAGAAATTGTTTCTCTTCTCTCTTGTTTTGTTTGGCAGGAGAAGCTCCAAGATGCTGCAAAGCCCAGGGAGGAACTAGAGTTGCTCTTTACACAACTACAGGATACAGCACGGAGGATGGCCAAAGTTCAGCTTGAATGCAAGGTATACTAGATACTTCATCTTTCTGTGCCTTCTATTTGTTTCCATTTTGCAATCTTGGTTTTGGATTTTGGGTGCGAGTTGGATAAGATGTCTGAGAAGGTTTGAAACCCATTTTTGGTTTAAAGGAAATAGATGTCTGGTTCTAAGTTGTGTTTCAGATATTTGCTCATTATGTTGGTGGGCCAGTAGGTTGGTTAGGGTCCTCTTTGGACATGACAAGAAAATACCAGAGTACCTTTTTTCCCCTTTCTGGTATAGGAAGGGAGAATTAAACCCTGTACCTTGGTTGGGTTGCTATGAAGCAATTCTTAATTTTTTTTTGGTCAGAACTACTATATTAGTAATGACATAGGAGTGGTTTCCATAAAATAGGAACTGCGTATGGCCTAAGGCATATCTGTCTGTCGGTCCAGGCATATTCTTAGTGGAACTTGAGCCAACTTGTAGTGAAAGGAGAGATTAGTTCACTAAAATTTGATGTAATGTCTATATATACTCACTATGCTTGTTCTTCAATTATGAAATTAGATATGGTATCCTTATAAACAGTTCCTATGTTCACTGTTTACCATTATCAAAAGCTAATTTCCATTCCACGAACGCTATCTAATCCTTTAAGCAACAACCATTTCAACCCTTGGGTAAAACTTGTTTAAGGATCAACTATCAGCTAAGGGAAAAAAAGGAGGAATTTGAATTAGGTGATTAGTTTCTCCAACAACGCTGATAGATATCACTCATTCTTCTGAACTCCACCATCACCCTTCTTCTTCCCAATATTCCATCTCAGTCTCTGAAACCCAATTTGATCGAACATGGGGACATAGGTTTGATTGAGGTGCGATCCATGACAGAAGAAGCGGTCAAGCCAGAATAGTTCCCCAGGTCTCTATATATGTCATACAGGGTGAGTCCAACATTGCATCAGGAATCCTGTTGCTCAACACATGCATAGAGTGCACTATATCCAATGTGTTCTCAAAGAATGGAAGCCTCTGAGAAATGCTAACATGCATTGGGATCAACCCCTCGATGCAATCAAACTATTGAACGGTCCATTCATGTTCATTGAATTTGTGACGATGGTGATGTTCCGCTCTCTCATCCTCGCCGCAATAGTGCCAGTCTCACCTCCAATGTCGAGTCCGATTCGGATACTACCGGCTGGTTTCGTCTCAAGAATCTGATCGATTCCATATTCTAGTCCTCTGTCGTAAAGCCATCTTCTTTCTCGACCTTGCAAGTTGAAGCAGTCCTTGCAATCAAAGTTCGCCGGAAATTTGTTGCGGTAGACAAGGCATTGGTAGCTTTTGCAAGTGTACGGATCCCAAATAATGCTGTAATCTGATGGAATTGACCAAAGGCTATCAGGAATCGGTGTTGGCCCGACCTAACCGACGGGGATTTGGGACAGCATCGTCGACGAGAGAGTGGTTCACAGCCCTTGAGCATAAGTTTTTGAGCAAAAACATCATCCACGGGACATTCGCCGCTAATGTCATATGTCATGTACTGAGAGAGTTCCTCTTGGAACGTCAAGCAGGCTGCTCCAACATGAGGATAGATCTCATCAGATGCAATTCGTGGGGAGTATCCTAATGGGAGCTTGTGAGGGAGAAGGGCAAGCTTGAGTTCATCGATAAGGAAGCAGGACGAGGAATGTCGAATACATCAGCTTGTTCGTGTTGACGGGTGAGCTCAATAAGGAGGGCTTAAACGAGAAAGTTGGTGGCGTTAATCTTGTGGTGCAAGTCAGCAATAAGAGAATAAGTGGAGAAGAATTGGGACTTTGTGGAGTTGAGGTCCTGCAAGAGATGAGAAATGGAATGAAGGATGTTGTCTTTGGATGATAAGATGAAAGGATGAGTAGTAAAGATGAGGATGATAACAAGGTTGGTGAATATGAGCATCAGGTTGCAGTGAACAAGTTGTTTGTATACCATGCTGCTTGCCTTGCCTGTGGGTTTCTTCCTGAAAATAATTGAGAAAGGAGTGCAGAAGATATAGACTGGACCTAAAATTTAAAATTTTAAAAAGAGATGTACTTATAAAATTAGAAAAATCTAAAATTTAAAATAATTTAAAATAATTTAAAAATTTTAGAGAACGATTATCTTCGTATGCCATTCAATCCATCCTGAATGCAGAATTTACAATCAATTCAGGTGATGGGAGTTGAAAGCTAATAAATAATTCGGTAGCATGGATGCATGTCACATGCTATTGGAGCTTCGTTCATTGTAATTGTAATGCGCCCCTTGAGCCTCTAAAACTTCCCAACATATTGATATTTTAATAGATATAAAAGTACGGAAAGTTTTTTCCTTTTTATTATTTATAACTGCCGATGTTTGACCAAACAGTTTCACTCATATTTTACACTCTTTCATATTTTACAGGTTTGTATAACAAATAAATATTTAAAGTATATTGATAACTCAGTAAAAAAAATTATATTTAGGATAATTTCACATAAGTTATTGACTATCTTAAAATATATATAAGTTCATATAAATGTATTTAGGAATATATAATTGTATTTGATGATTTAGATTTGTCGTGACATTATTTTGAAAATGGTGTTATTTTACGAGGAAAATTATGTTTTGCTGATGATATGTAGGTTGATGAAGTAAAGGTGAGCATGTAAAATTGTCGCAACATTTCTAGATGGTGAACAAAGGAGAATTACCAAAGCAATTTGAGATGAATTCTGGGCACAAAAAGAACAAAAATGAAGAAGATATTTTCAAAAAAGTATACAGTTTGCCTTACAGTTTTCCCCTTTTTAATCTTCATTCTTTTCTATTTTTTAAAAGTAATGGAGGAATGGCATTTACTTCCATACATCAGGAATCAAGCAAATAATATAGCACTTTAAGACAACTGTGCTCCACGTGCCTTCAACATATGCCTAGGTCTCTCACAGAGTCACCGGTAACAATTGATTAAAGCTTAAAGAACAAGTGTAGTGTCAACAGAAAACATCAAAAGGTATATTACTGAAACAGTCAATATGAGAACACTTCTAATACCTATTAGCTGAAGTTTCAACTAGATTTCATTGATTGATTGATATACAAAAGCACATATTTAAACACATATCAGCTAGAAAAGATATATGTATTAATTTGTTGGGAAATAAACGAGTAACAAGTAATTTCCCTATAGCCAGATTAGTGAGAATACAAAATAAAAGCGGAAAAAATAATACTCGAAAAATTGATAACGGAGTTCAGCCAATTGTGCTTACTTCTCCGGACTGCTGCAGATCTTTTACTAAAGAGAAAAAATTACAGGTGAGAACTGGAAGATTTTGGGATGATTTTGAAGCAAAATGGGATAGGGTATTTAAGTTGAAGCTTAGGGACTAATCTTGTAAATACCCTAAAGTGTGCAATGGCTAAAAGAGTAATTAACCCATTTACAATTTTAATTAAAAATTGGTTCGGTGCCAACCTTTGAATAATGGACTGCCATTATTCAAATCATGCACCGCCCTTTTGAATTTCCAGTGGCGGTGCCCCCTACTGCTCCCCTTTTCTGATTTTTAAAGCCACCAATTTTGACTTTTCTTTTCCAACAATCTCCCACTTGAAGACTGATTTTAATCTTTCTTCATACCTCGATCAATGCAGCAGCATTTATGGTCTTGTTACTCTAGCATGCCAACTGAAGCTGAACACAACTTCAGTTTGTCCGTGGTCACTGTCTTTGTCACATGTCTGCCGGATTTTGAGCTCCACTAATCTTTTCAAGTTTCAAAATCCCATCTTCCAGAAGAGATCGAATAAAATGATATCTCAATTGTATGTGCTTCGTCCTGGAATGAAAAGACGGATTCTTTGCTAGATGGATAACACTTTGACTGTCGCAATATAAAACATTGTTTTCTTGTTTCTTGCCTAACTCTTCCAAGAAACTTTGGAGCCAAACCATCTCCTTGTTGGCTTCCGTAACAGCGACATATTCTGCTTCAGTTGTGGAGAGAGCAACTATCTTCTGTAGTTGAGAAACTCAACTCACTGCAGTACCTCCTAGAGTATAGACATACCATGTAGTACTCCTTCTGATGTCAACATTTCCGGCTAAGTCAGCATCTACATAGCCTGTCAGTATCGTATCTCCACCTTTGAAACAAAGTCCTTTGTTTGTAGTACCCCGCAGATATCTGAGGATCCATTTGACAGCTTCCAGTGTACCTTGCCTGAATTATTCATGTACCTGAGAACAGCTCCCACTGCATGAGCAATATCTGGTCTGGTACAAACCATGGCATACATCAGACTTTCAATTGTTAAGGCATACGGCACCTTCACCATGTGTGCACGTTCTTCATCCGTCTTTGGTGACTGTTCTTTGGAGAGTATAAAATGAACACCTAAAGGTGTACTCACTGGTTTAGTATCTTGCATGTTGAACCTGGAGAGTACTTTGTTAATGTACTCAGCCTGTGATAACATCAAAGTCCCCGACTTTTTGTCTCTCTTGATCCTCATCCCAAGAATCTGCTTTGCAACGCCCAGATCTTTCATTGCAAACTGCTTCGACAATTTTTGCTTCAAGTTTATAATCTCTTGCATGTCTGAGCCTACAATGAGCATGTCATCAACATACAACAATAAAATAATGAAGCTGTTGTCGAACCTCTTGATGTAGCAACAATGATCTGCTTGGCATCTGGTAAAACCACTGCTACTCATGAAGCTATCGAACTTCTTGTACCACTGTCTAGGAGCTTGTTTTAAACCATACAAGCTATTCTTCAACCTGCATACCAGGTTTTTGTTTCCTGCCTCTATGAAGCCTTTTGGCTGCCTCATATAGATTTCTTCCTCTAAATCACCATGAAGGAAAGCTGTCTTTACATCTAACTGCTCAAGATGTAAATTTTCTACAGCTACAATTTTCAACACCAGTCTGATTGTAGACAGTTTTACAACTGGAGAGAAAATTTCATTGTAGTCAATACTTTCCTTTTGCTGAAAACCTTTGACAACCAATCTTGCTTTATAGCGTTTACTCCCATCATGCTCTTCTTTGATCATGTAGATCCACTTGTTATGGAGCGCTTTCTTGCCTGGTGGTAATTCAGCTAATTCCCACGTCTGATTTGACATAAGCGAGTCCATCTCATCTTTCATGGAAGACTCCCACTTGACTGAATCCTCCACTTGTATTGCTTCATCATAGCACTCTGGTTCACCATTGTCGGTCAGCAACAAGTAGTGCAAAGAAGGAGAATACCGTTGGTTGGTTTAGGAATTCTGGAGGAGCGTCTTAGTTCCGGTGTGCCTGGTTCTTCTTGAACTGCTTCATGACTGATCTGAACATCATTTCCAGAAATCTCCTCGAATTCAGCAAATTCCTTTGTTTCAGCTTTGGTATTTGAACTGCTTGATTTTACAGTTGACCTGTCTTTGTACATCACATTCTCATTGAAAATGACATATCTGCTTCTGATAATCTTCCGATTTCATAGTCCCAAAACGGTAACCGAACTCATCACCGCCATAACCAACAAAGGCACATTTGTTGGACTTAGCATCAAGTTACTTCTTTCAGCAGAGTCTATGTGTACATAAGAAATACAACCAAACACTCTTAAGTGTAAAAGGTTATTCTTTCTTGGTCCAAACTTCCTCTGGTATTCTACCATCCAAAGGAACTGAGGGCCCACGGTTGATCAGGTAAGCTACAGTGTTGATAGCTTCAGCCTATAGAAATTTGGGTAATCCGGCATGTATCCTCATGCTTCTGGCACGTTCATTTAGAGTTCTGTTCATGCGCTGCTACGCCATTCTGCTGCGGTGTCATGGGAACTGTTGCCTCTATCTTGATCCCATTGTTTGCGCAGAAATCTGAATCTCCTATTTTTGTACTCTCCTCCATTGTCAGACCTCAACCGCTTGACTTTAAGACCAGTCTCATTTTCCACCATGACCTTCCATTTTCTGAAGGTATCAAAGACTTCTGATTTTCTTTAGAAAATAAACCACATTCCTTGTAGAATCATCGATGAATGTGACATAATATAATGAGCCTGCAAGAGATGGAACTGGAGATGGTCCCCATACATCAGTATGAATCAACTCTAACTTTTCAGCCTTGGGTGTCTTACCAATCTTGCAAAGCTGACTTTTTTGTTTGCCAAAGATGCAATCCTCGCATAGTCCGACATCTACATTCTTTAGTTCCGGTAACTTCCCCTTTGACAAAAGTGTCTTCATCCCTTTCTCGCTCATATGACCAAGCCTTTGGTTCCATAGGTTTGATTTTCCATCAGCATCTGCTACTGCAATGATTCTTTAAATTTGAGGTTATAGAGAGTGCCAGTTTTCTTACCACGAACAATGACGAGTGCTCCTTTAGTAATCTTCCATTCACAGCCTAAAAGGTTGTGCTAAATCCTTCACCATCAAGCTGTCCTACAGAAATCAAATTTCTTTTGAGGCCAGAATATGTCTCACTCTTTCAGCGTCCAGGTGGTCTGGTTTGACAACTTTAATCGAATGTCTCATTTTTCGACGATCTTCAAGGTTTCATCATCGGCTAGATGAACCTTCCCAAAATCTCCACTGACATAGTTCTCAATGATTTCTCGGCATGGGATGGAGTGGAAAGATGCCCATGAATCCAAGATCCAGGATTCAATTGAACTGTTGACGCTTAGAATCATGGCATCACCTGTCTCCTCTGTCATGTTTGTAGATTCCTATGCGCCAATATCTTTCTTTAGTGCTCGACAATCCCTTTTAAAGTGACCCTTCTTGCCACAATTATAACAGGTAAAATCTTTCTTTCCCGTTCTTGATTTTCCCCGTCTGGATTTCGATCTGCCACGATTTGAATTTCTTTATGAAGTTCTCCCTCTGGACTCCGTGTGCAAGGCTGAGGAGGTTGATGCTTCACCTGATTCTCTCCGTCGAATTTCTTCGCTCAGTACCAGATTCCGAACATCGTCGAATTTCAATTTACTATTTCCCGACGAGCCGCTAACTGCTGCAACAGTAGCATTCCAATTATCTGGTAGAGATGATAAGAGAATTAAAGCTCGAACTTCATCATTGAAATCAATTTCCATGGAACTCAACTGGGTTGTGATTGTGTTGAGTTCATTCAGGTGTTGAGCCACTGATGCCCCTTCCGTCATCCGCAAATTGAATAATCGCCTCATCAAATGAACTTTGTTTGAGGTCGATGGCTTCTCATACATACTAGAGAGAGCCGCTATAAGACCCGCCGTGGTCTTTTCCTTTGCTATGTTGAAAGCAACATTTCAGGACAACGTCAGTCGGATAACTCCGAGTGCTTGTCGGTCGAGAAGAGCTCAGTCTTCATTCTTCATGCCCTCTGGTTGCTTTCCTAAGAGGGGTTGATATAGATTTTTCTGGTACAGAAAATCTTTGATCTGCATCTTCCAAAAGCCAAAGTCCGCACCATCAAACTTTTCAATTTTCATATTCCCTTCGTCTGCAGCCATCGCTCCCACTCGAATCTGGCTTCTTCGGATCGTTTCTGACAATTTGTGCGAACCACCGTGTATTATAACACCTCCATCGACAAATTCGTATCGACGACAAAATTTTACTATTCACGAAATTTACTATTCATGTGAATAGTAATGAATAGTAACCTCGCAAAAAATTGACAAAATTCACAACCTAAAGCTCTGATACCAGTTGTTGGAAAATAAACGAGTAACAAGTAATTTCTCTATAGCCAGATTAGTGAGAATACAAAATAAAAGCGGAAAAAATAATACCTGAAAAATTAATAACGGAGTTAAGCCAATTGTGCTTACGTCTCCGGACTGCTGTAGATCTTTTACTAAAGAGAAAAAATTACAGGTGTTTACAAAACACACTTGAGAGAGAACTGGAAGATTTTGGGATGATTTTGAAGCTAAATGGATTAGGGTATTTATAGTTGAAGCTTAGAGACTAATCTTGTAAATATCCTAAAGTGTGCAATGGCTAAAAGAGTAATTAACCCATTTACAATTTTAATTAAAAATTGGTTCGGTGCCAACCTTTGAATAATGGACTGCCATTATTGAAATCATGCACCGCCCTTTTGAATTTCCAGTGGTGGTGCCCCCCACTGCTCCCCTTTTCTGATTTTTAAAGCCATCAATTTTGACTTTTCTTTTCCAACATAATTAATACCATGATCCATTGTATTTTCCCAATTTTAAAATGACGAACAATGTGTACTAGAAATATTTTCCCACAAAAGAAGAATGAAAAGAATAACCAAAAAGCTTGCCTTTGTTGTTGCCTGCAGAGCAGCACGTATCGCATCTCGCTCATCTTGCCTAACAATGACTGCAGTTCTAGTAGATTTCCTTATAATTCTTTCACCATCTACATCATCAGGGGCATCATAATGTTGTGGAGTGGTAGTCTTTTGAGTAGCATTTTCATCTTTGGAATCACCATCTAAATTTGAAAGGACTTTCTTTTTCCTCTTTTTTTCGTAGAAGACTTTCCAGGAAATATCAGACGCTTCTTTGTGCGAACCCTGCTAGAGCAACTCAAAATAAAAATAAATTGGTTATGAAATGGAGATGTAAATACAATATAAAAAAGGTAAAAGAAGCTAAACCTTTCATCTGCTTCATTTTCTACTTCCTCATCTGGCTCAGGTTCCTAGCAACCGTGGAAGAGCCAATTTTCAAGATAGGGAAGGTGTAAAGTTTTCTTAGCATTAAGATATCTTAGGACGTAAGAGTAATTATATAATATTAATTAAATCTGAAGTAGAGAAGAGAGCAATACAAACATCTTCATCGAAGTCACTATCGAACATATCATCAACCTCTGGTTCTTCTTCATAATTGACATCATTCTCCTCATGGGGATAGAAATACAAACAGAAAATTTGTAAATGTCTATTAATCTTTTAATCAAAACCTAAAGTGTACAAACTATAGGTGGTGATCATAATATGTCGTTCTAACAAAAACTTTATTTCAGAGTTTAAACCAATTCTAGGGAACATGAAATTACCCATATCTCAACACATCAACATCAATTCTATAATCTATTAATTTGAAAAGAGTAACTCCGCTGGAAAAATGTATGTTTTTACCTCTTTAAAAGATTCTTGATTCCAAAACAACTCGTCCTTTTCAACTTCGTCGTCCAGCAACTTTGTCATCCTGGAAATAGCAAATAAAGGGTTTCTATATCGATTATATTCGGAAAATTTTTAGAAAAAAAGAGAAGAAAACAACAGTACATCATTGCGAGATAGTAATATTAAGTTGAAGACTTGTCTTCTCCCTCTCGTTGATCGAGAAGCACGGTCCGGAAAGGCGGTTGTATCTTCTTTACCGGTTTCCATCCATAAAAAAGTAAAAACTTCACCACTTGCGACACCGGGGAGGAAGAGTAGATCGGATAGGTACCGGAGACTTTTGGCGCGATTGAGAACTTAAGAGATAGAAAGACGACAAGAAGCCGCGAGAATGTTAAAACTAACCATACCAAAAGCTACCTACTGGAAGGGCTTTAAAATAAATATGGTAAACTACATTAATGGTCAATAAAGTATTTGTAAGTTTCACTTGATTGTTGACAGTAAGATAGTATTTGTTCATAGATAATTTTTAAATTTTCGATATTAAATGTTCACACTTTTGACATATAACACCCCCAACCCGTATCCGACCCGGATACGAGTATGAGGTGTCATATTGACTTTTCAAACTTTGACTCTTGACAAAATTCAAAGAAAATTTAAACATGTAACATCCTAAGTAACGGGTTAGTGACTAATTTGTAAAAATTCAGAATTTGGTGATTAAAGTAGAATAATTATATAGTTTAAAAATAATTGTTAGTAAATATGAAATGAATTTAAGGACAAAATGGTCATTTGCAAGGAAAAAATTATAATTAAAAATTTTTATGGGGATATATTATAACCCACGTGGGGCTTGAGTAGGAAACAAAGGTTTCCAGAATTCTCTCTTCTCTTCTTCCAAACGTGAAGACCAAGTTTAAGGTAAGAATCTGAACCTTGGTAGTTCTTTGATTTTTAGCTTGGAAATTGAAGTTTGGATGTTATATAAGCTAAAGGAAAGCTTATATGATATTAAGACAACAAGATAAGTGATTTAGAGAGAGATTTGGAAAATGAGTTTTTAGATGAAATTTTGATATGGATGAGTTTTTGAAGTTTGAATAAGATTTTTGACTTGTCAATAAGTTAATTAAGAAGTATGAGGTGATAGAATTGAAATTAGAACAAGTTGGAATTTGAGCAAGATTCTTAAATTCTATATGGATGATTAGTTTTTTTTAGTTTTATAGGTATTGAATGGATAATAATTAGTTTAAGTAAGTGTATGAAAGCTAAGAGTATTAAAGGGAGTGAAATATGTATGTTTGAGCTGAAATGAGATGATTTTCGGGCTCAAAATAGGATTTATGGGCTAGGGGAATCGGTACCCATTCAAGGGGAATCGATACCCCCTCAACGTATATGAATTTCCAGAATGCTAGAGGGGAATCGATACCCCCAGGGGGGAACCGATTCCCCCATATAAAAAAAAGAGAAAGACTAAACTATTAATTCCTTAAATTGGTAGGCTATTAAAGATTAATTTCAGGACATAGACATCTGATAATCATCTTGAAAATTATGTTTATGTAGATACTGAGCCTACACGAGTTCGGGAATAATCTACAAGTAGGATCGATCGAGGAAAAGACAAAGAAATATAGGTGAGTGCATATGCATAGCATAATTATAGAAATATACTCAATTCTAGACTTGTGATAAGTCTAGATTTTTTTATATCTTGGCACATGAGCATATTCTTTATTATGAGACATGATATGAATTCCTATAAAATGCATTATATGACATGAATATGCAGGAAAAGTTATGAGCTATGTGAAAAGGTAAGAACTTACATGTCTACGCGATATATACTACGTGAAATGTAAAAGCCCATGTTATGTAGATGAGAACTATAGGTATAGTTGGCATGCCAAGGGTAGAGGGTCTACGCGGTCCTTCGGGACAAAATTCTACGCGGTCCTTCGGGATATATATATATATTCTTTGGAACATGTGTGAAGTCTGGTGAGACACATATGTGATCCCTAGCATATGTATATGATTCTTAAGGAATTCTATGTGGTCGTTATGGACATTATTATATGGCACTACGGTGCAATTCTACGCGGCACTTCGGTGCATTTATACGAGCTGTGGTGACAGCATAGTGCACAACCTCACATTACTCAGATACCTTAGGTTCTCAATATGATATCATGGGCCAATAAACTTATTAATACGAATTCATGAATGTTAAATTAATATGCTTACAGGTATGGATATTGATGATGTAGACTACATTGATTAAGTACATGCTTCCATCTCATTTCATATGATTATGACATTTTCATTACATTGCCTTGTTATTATTATTACATTGCCTTACTAAGTCGATGACTTAGCGTGTGAGTGTTTCACACGTAGGATCCGAGAAAGTAGACGAGACAGGTGAAGCAGCTTGACAGTATTACTCCTGCAACCACCAGATCAGAAGCAACTTAATCAGTAGGTCATTTTGTTATGTAAATGGCAGTTGGCATGTAATTAAAGGGTTAAGTTGTGTATGCTCTGAATATTTTGGTAAACTTATATTACAATATGTATATTATCGTATTTTCTTAATATAAGTTCAAATATTTTGCTATTATTGGTTAAGAGTTGTGTTTTAAAAGTCAATGTAATATCTCTGACTCATATCCGGGTCGGGTACGGGTTGGGGGTGTTACATTTAATGGTATCAGAGCTATGGTTTAGCCTATTCTAGGCATGAACCAGAGTCTATAAAGTCTTTAAATGGAATACATGCCAACAAATAGTGAGAACTTCTGATATGGTATAGTATGAGTATGCTGTTTTGCTAATAGAATAATGTGTTTATTCTTATTAGATATCCGGACATAATAGCTCCCGAAGTGAAGCGGGAGAAGATAGGCATGCTGAAAGCAGTAATTCACCTGCCCTGGCCAGGCAAGGTGAAGAACAGGCATCTCAAGGAGTGCCTGTGCAAGATCAAGATACGTTCTTCAGAACGTTAGATGCTATTCTAACGCGTCTTCAACCTTCTGCTCCACTAACTCAGAATAAATGTAGTAAAAGAGTTGAGAGGTTTAGGAGCTCCCGAATTTAAGGGAGAAGCTGAGGAAGGTCCAGTGTCAGCGGAACTTTGGTTGAATGATTTGAAAATCATGTTAGATGGTCTCCACTGTTCCGAAGTGGAGAAATTAGATGGAGTTGTATCTTTATTGAGAGGTCAGGCGAGGATATGGTGGACGAACGTCACCATGAGGATGTCAACCGACCAGTTGACTTGGTCTTTGTTTTTAGAAGAATTTAAAAGCAAGTATTTTTGAGATCAGTTTATCCGACAAATGAAACAGGAGTTTATGAATTTGAAGCAGATGAGCCGCTTTGTATATGAGTACGAATGTGAGTTTAATAAGCTGAGCAGGTTTGCAGCTGAGCTTGTGCCTACTGAAAAAGATGCTTGCGAATGGTTCGTGGAGGGCTTGCGCCCTAGACTTAAAGAATTGTTGATAGTGTTGAATTTGTCCTCGTTCCAAGAGGTGATCAATCGCGCCAAGGCTCTTGAAAGAGCTCAGAATGAGAGATTCAGGGATTTTAGAGTTCAAACATCAAAGAGAACGGGTGCTTTTTCTAGCTCAGTACCATCAAAAAGGGGAAGAGACTCGGGATTTCGATCACAGGCTAGATCAGAATCAGATCGTCTGCTAGGGGAACAAGTCAGGCAAGACCTAGACAGACGCAGTCAGTGGAATCTGGTGCTGGGAGATCTACTCCGAGTCAAGGGAGACAGTGTCAGCACTGTAACTTCCGCAATACCGGGTTAGTGACCAAATTGTAAAGTTTCATAATTTGGTGACTAAAGTAGAAGAATGAAGGAATTCAATGATTATTTGAATATATATTGAAGGTTAGTTGGTAATTATTAAAGGAAATTAAGGGTATTATGGTCATTTGACCAGAAGGATTTTTATATTTTTTTTAAGGTAATATAAACGTGGGATATGTGAGAACCATCCAGAGTGCTCTTCTCCTTTCTTCTTCTTCATACGTGGGAGAGCAAGGCAAAGGTAAGTTTAATTTCAGTTGGTTAATTCTTGAGTTTTAAGCTTAGTTTTGATTCTTTGGGTATTAAATAAGCTTAAGGAAAGCTTATATGGGATTTAAACAATAAGATAAAGGAATTATGAAGGAATTTGCCATATGAGTTTTAAGATGAAATTTTGATATGGTATGGTTGTTGAAGTTTTATGGATGAATTTGACTTGTCATCAATCTAATTAAGAAGTATGAAGTGTTAGAATGGGAATTAGAACACATTGAAAATTTGGTATGATTTTTGAATCTTATATGGATAATAGGATTTTGATGTTTAAGATGAAATAAATGAATATAGATTGGTTTAAGTATGTGTACTAGAGTTAAGAATGAAAAGGGGATGATATATGAAGTGTTTGAGTGGAAATGAAGTAATTTTCGGGTTGAAAATATGATTTCTGGGCAAGGGGAATCGGTACCCATTCAAGGGGAATCGATACCCTTCAAACGAACAACATTTCCAGAATGTCATGAGGGAATCGATACCCATAGTAGGGAACCGATTCCCCCTAAAGGAAAATGTGAATATTGGTTAATAAGTTCGTTTAAATTGCTAGTATCCAATTACAAGGTGTAGGTATCTAATGATTGCCTCAAAATGTACATGTATGTAGATTATACGC